AGGGGGTGATTCCACTAGCCTGTGTATTGACCAGGGGGTGATTCCACTAACCTGTGTATTGACCAGGGGGTGATTCCACTAGCCTGTGTATTGACCAGGGGGTGATTCCACTAGCCTGTGTATTGACCAGGGGGTGATTCCACTAACCCCACTAACCTGTGTATTGACCAGGGGGTGATTCTACTAACCCCACTAGCCTGTGTATTGACCAGGGGGTGATTCCACTAACCCCACTAACCTGTGTATTGACCAGGGGGTGATTCTACTAACCCCACTAGCCTGTGTATTGACCAGGGGGTGATTCTACTAACCCCACTAGCCTGTGTATTGACCAGGGGGTGATTCTACTAGCCTGTGTATTGACCAGGGGGTGATTCCACCAGCCTGTGTATTGACCAGGGGGTGATTCCACTAGCCTGTGTATTGACCAGGGGGTGATTCCACTACCCCACTAACCTGTGTATTGACCAGGGGGGTGATTCCACCAGCCTGTGTATTGACCAGGGGGTGATTCCACTAACCCCACTAGCCTATGTATTGACCAGGGGGTGATTTCCAACCAAGCCTGTGTATTGACCAGGGGGGTGATTCCACCAAGCCTGTGTATTGACCAGGGGGTGATTCTACTAGCCTGTGTATGACCAGGGGGTGATTCCACCACCTGTGTATTGACCGGGGGTGGATTCCACTAAACCCCACATAGCCTGTGTATTGACCAGGGGGTGATTCTACTAGCCTGTGTATTGACCAGGGGGGGGTTGATTCCACTAGCCTGTGTATGTGACCAGGGGGTATTCCACTAGCCTGTGTATTGACCAGGGGGGTGATTCCACTAGCCTGTGGTATTGACCAGGGGTGTGATTCTACTAACCCCACTAGCCTGTGTATTGACCAGGGGGTGATTCTACTAGCCTGTGTATTGACCAGGGGGTGATTCTACTAGCCTGTGTATTGACCAGGGGGTGATTCCACTAGCCTGTGTATTGACCAGGGGGTGATTCTACTAGCCTGTGTATTGACCAGGGGGTGATTCCACCAGCCTGTGTATTGACCAGGGTGTCTTCAACCCAACAGAGAGCTAGCCAGGGAGAAGGTGATGCGAGAGGTGAAGGCTCTTGCCAAGCTCGAACACCCAGGGATCATCCGTTACTTCAACGCCTGGCAGGAGAGCCCCCCAGAGGGCTGGCAGGAGGGCCAGGACCAGCGCTGGCTGGAGGAGAGGTAGGAACTATAACCGTGTAACACCAGGCAGGAGAGCCCCCCAGAGGGCTGGCAGGAGGGCCAGGACCAGCGCTGGCTGGAGGAGAGGTAGGAACCATAATGATGTTACACCAGGTAGGAACTATAACCGTGTAACACCAGGCAGGAGAGCCCCCCAGAGGGCTGGCAGGAGGGCCAAGACCAGCGCTGGCTGGAGGAGAGGTAGGAACCATAATTGAATGTTACAGACACCAGGTAGGAACTATAACCGTGTAACACCAGGCAGGAGAGCCCCCCAGAGGGCTGGCAGGAGGGCCAAGACCAGCGCTGGCTGGAGGAGAGGTAGGAACCATAATGATGTTACACCAGGTAGGAACTATAACCGTGTAACACCAGGCAGGAGAGCCCCCCAGATGGCTGGCAGGAGGGCCAGGGACCAGCCGCTGGCTGGAGGAGAGGTAGGAACCATAATGATGTTACACCAGGTAGGAACTATAACCGTGTAACACCAGGCAGGAGAGCCCCCCCTAAGGGCTGGCAGGAGGACATTTTTGTCTGCCATGATTGTCATCAGAAATCGCCAGCTTTTAATTGAGTGAGAGTCACAGCTATGTTTGTAGAACTCCTTGTTTCTTGGCTCCATCTGGTTTTAATGATGGTTGAAACCATTTCCATTCCTAATGTTGAAGTTTATAAAGTAATATAATAATATTTCTCTCTCTCTCTCAGCACTACCGACTGGCCACAGAGCTCCCCCGACCACATGGAGGTGCTGTCTGTCAAAGTGCCCATCTCTTCTGTGTCTGGGCTGGGCGGGGCCTTCATCACTGACCACGACCAATCCATGCTCTTCAGCTCCGCAGGCGGGGCCATGGGATTTGGCGGTGGGGCTATGGACTTCAGAGTCGGGTCTGACCTCCCCTTCCCACTTCTGAATGGTCAGGACAGTATGATGTCAGAGCTGGATAGCCAACCAGACCCGGAGGCCTCGGCTTCAGACACGCCCCACTCCTTTGAGCTGTGCCCCCCCCGCGGCCCCAGCGACTGCACCTCGTCCTCTTTCGACATCGTGTTCGAGGACTCAGGCTGCGACCGCGACGCCGACCCCGACCCTGAGGTCACGACCCCCTCAGGAGCCTCTGGATTGGCCAGTCCCCCGCTCACTGAGAAGGCTATCCCCTCCTCCTCCCACACCAGAGGAGCAGGACCCCCTCTCCACGTACCCCACCATACCATCATCTCCCTATATCCACTTCTCCTCATCCCCCAACAAGGAGGAGAAGAACCTAGAAAGAACGAAAAAAAAGAAACAGACATGAAAGTAGAGCAAAGGAATAGAAGAGAGAGAAAAAGCCCAACACACCTCCCCGCCCATTGCCTGGTCCCCAGCCCCTCCCGGACCCCCCCAGCCCCGCGGCCCCAGCCCTCTCCTAAGGTGTACCTGTACATCCAGATGCAGCTGTGTCGTAAAGACACCTTGAAGGATTGGATGTCTCAGAGATGTCTGCCTGAACAAAGGGAACATTTCAGTGTCTGGGCAATTTATTGCAGATCTCAGACGGCCGTCACTCCTCCATACAAGGCCTGATGGCACAGAGATCGGTGGAAGAAACAATGAACACAGATAAAAAAAAGAAGAAGGACAAACAATCATAAAAAAAGCCCAAAACCCCACCAATCAAGAAAGATAGAAAGAGAGATAATAGTGAGGGTATGACTATATGAGAGATGAGAGAGATAGTAAATAGGAGAGATAATACATGAATAATAGAGATTAGATACGATATATACATATAGAATAGTATATATTGTATTATATAATATATAGATATAGAATAGATATATAGAGTATCTCTAGATATATATATATATCTATATATATATGGATATATATATATAATATATATATATATATTATACATATAATATATAAAAAAATATAGATAGATATATATCAGACAGATATGAGATAGTAGAATAGAGCAAAGAGAATATAGAATATATATATATCTAATTATATCTAGATAGATGATATATACGAATAGAGAGATGATATAATTTCTATATAATATATAAAAATAATATAATGATGATATATATAATATGATGAAAATATAATAGAAAAAAATAATAATATAAATATATCTATTATATAATATATATATAGCATATATATCTCTATATAAATATCTATCTAAATATAGCAAATAATCAATAGCATAATATATCTATTATCTCTCATATCTTATATACTATATATATCTATCTCTACTCCTATTATCCTCTACTCTTCGCCCCATCACCTCTCCTCTCTCTCGATTCCTCTCGTCTCTCTTCCTCTATATGCTATATAGATCGGCGATATCTCGCTCTCTCGCTCGCGATATTCTAGACTAATCTGAAGACTCTTCGCCGATCAATGCTCCAATCCGTCCTCTCTCTATATCCTCTCTCATCTTCTCCTTCCTCTCTCCGCCCCTCCGAATATCTAATCTCGCCTCTCTATAGCTCTCTATCGAGATCTTGTCTCTCTCTGACTCTCTTATCATCTCCTCTTCCACCTTCTCCTCTCTCCTCTCTATCTATCTATCTGCTATCTCGCTCTTCCTCTTTCCTCTCTCTATCTCTCTCTCTCGTCCCCCATCTAGCCTCTCTCCCCCCTCCTCTTCTCAGCCCTCCAATATCTTCTTACAGTGGATGATGTGGTGAAGGTTGGAGACTTTGGTCTGGTGACAGCCATGGACCAGGAAGATGATGAGGATTGAACAGGACACCGTGGACCCCCATGCCCAGCTATGCCCGTCACACCGGACAAGTTGGCACCAAACTATACATGAGCCCAGAACAGGTAAGGCCAAACACACACTACATGTCTACATGTATGTGGACATCTCGTCGAACATCTCATTCCAAAATCATGGGCATTAATATGGAGTTGGTCCCCCCTTTGCTGCTATAACAGCCTCCACTCTTCTGGGAAGGCTTTCCACTAGATGTTGGAACATTGCTGCAGGGACTGACTTGTTGGAAAGGTGGCATCCTATGACGGTGCCACGTTGATAGTCAGTAAGCTCTTCAGTAAGGCCATTCTACTGCCAATGTTTGTCTATGGAGATTGCATGGCTGTGTGCTTGATTTTATATATTGTCAGCAACGGGTTTCTGAAATAGCCAAATCCACTAATTTGAAGGGCTGTCCACATACTGCTGTATATATCATGTACATATTTAATCACACTCCCAGGATTCCCTGGGTCATCCTGTTTCACCCTGTCCTGGTCCATCCTGGTCCATCCTGGTTTATCCTGGTTTACCCTGTCCTGGTTCACCCTGTCCTGGTTCATCCTGGTTCACCCTGTCCTGGTTCACCCTGTCCTGGTTCATCCTGGTCCACCCTGTCCTGGTCCATCCTGGTTCACCCTGGTTTATCCTGGTTTACCCTGTCCTGGTTCACCCTTTTTGGTTCACCCTGTTCTGGTTATCTGGTTCACCTGTCTGGTTCTTGGTTTGGTCATCCTGGTTCACCCTGTCCTGGTTCATCCCTGGTCTGGTTCATCCTGGTTCACCCTGTCCTGGTTCCCCATGTTCTGTCATCCTGGTTCACCCTGGTCCTGGTTCATCCTGGTTCACCCTGTCCTTGGTCATTCGGTTGCACCCGTCCGGGTCATCATGGTCACCCTTGTGTATCTGGTCCTGGTCATGGTTCACCCTTTTTGGTTCACCCTGTTATGGTTTCATCCTGGGTCACCCTGTTCTGGATCACCTGGGCACATGTCCGGTCTATCCCTGGTTAACTGTTAGGTTCATCTGGTCACCACTGTCCGGTCTATTCCTGGGTCACGTCCTGGTTCACCCTGGATGGTCATCCTGGGCACACCTGTCCTGGGTATCCTGGTCTGGTCATCCTGGTTCACCCTGTCCTGGTCATTCTGGTTACACCCTGTAGGTTCATCCTGGTTCACCCTGGTCTGGTCCATCCTGGTTCACCCTGTCCTGTTCACCCTGGGTTCACCCTGGTCTGGTTCATCGGTTTCACCCTGTTCTGGTTCATCCTGGTTCACCCTGTCCTGGTTCATCCTGGTTAAACTGGTCTGGTCCATCCTGGTTCACCGTCCTGGTTCATCCTGGTTCACCCTGGTCTGGTTCATCCTGGTTCACCCTGTCCTGGTTCACCCTGTCCTGGTTCATCCTGGTTCACCCTGTCCTGGTTCATCCTGGTTCACCCTGGTCTGGTTCATCCTGGTTCACCCTGGTCTGGTTCATCCTGGTTCACCCTGGTCTGGTTCATCCTGGTTCACCCTGTCCTGGTTCATCCTGGTTCACCCTGGTCCTGGTTCATCCTGGTTCACCCTGTCCTGGTTCACCCTGGTCTGGTTCACCCTGTCCTGGTTCATCCTGGTCTGGTTCATCCTGGTTCATCCTGGTCTGGTCCATCCTGGTTCACCCTGTCCTAGTATATGTAATATATATTTTAGATTGGTAAACTGTCTGTCTGGTAACTCCTACTATTAGACTCGTAGAGCTGTGTAGAGCTGTAACCGAGATGTCTATCTGTTACCCTGAACTGTGCAGTCTTATAGATTAGAGATGTTTACCCTAACCTTCCTCTCTCTCCTCTCCAGTTGTCTGGTAACCTGTACTCTCACAAAGTGGACATCTACTCTCTGGGTCTGATCCTGTTTGAACTGCTCTGTCCCTTCAGGACACAGATGGAGAGAGTCAGGGTGAGTAGTGCCACAGTATTGTCTATGGTATGTTATATATAGACTGACTGAAGTTATATATTGTCTATGGTATCATGTTGATCTCCAGACTCTAACTGAAGTTATATATTGTCTATGGTATCATGTTGATCTATAGACTGACTGAAGTTATATATTGTCTATGGTATCATGTTGATCTCCAGACTCTAACTGAAGTTATATATTGTCTATGGTATCATGTTGATCTCCAGACTCTAACTGAAGTTATATATTGTCTATGGTATCATGTTGATCTCCAGACTCTAACTGAAGTTATATATTGTCTATGGTATCATGTTGATCTCCAGACTCTAACTGAAGTTATATATTGTCTATGGTATCATGTTGATCTCCAGACTCTAACTGAAGTTATATATTGTCTATGGTATCATGTTGATCTCCAGACTCTAACTGAAGTTATATATTGTCTATGGTATCATGTTGATCTTCCAGACTCTAACTGAAGTTATATTGTCTATGGTATCATGTTGATCTCCAGACTCTAACTGAAGTTAATATTGTCTATGGTATCATGTTGATCTCCAGACTCTAACTGAAGTTATATATTGTCTATGGTATCATGTTGATCTCCAGACTCTAACTGAAGTTATATATTGTCTATGGTATCATGTTGATCTCCAGACTCTAACTGAAGTCCGAGGGCTGCAGTTTCCTGCTGTCTTTTCCAAGAACAACGTCCAGGAGGTAAGTAGTGTTTCTCTGCTGTGTGTCTGGCTCCTCCTACTGTCTCTGGCTCCTCCTACTGTCTCTGGCTCCTCCTACTGTCTCTGGCTCCTCCTACTGTCTCTGCTGTGTGTCTGGCTCCTCCTACTGTCTCTGCTGTGTGTCTGGCTCCTCCTACTGTCTCTGGCTCCTCCTACTGTCTCTGGCTCCTCCTACTGTCTCTGCTGTGTGTCTGGCTCCTCCTACTGTCTCTGGCTCCTCCTACTGTCTCTGGCTCCTCCTACTGTCTCTGCTGTGTGTCTGGCTCCTCCTACTGTCTCTGCTGTGTGTCTGGCTCCTCCTACTGTCTCTGGCTCCTCCTACTGTCTCTGCTGTGTGTCTGGCTCCTCCTACTGTCTCTGGCACCTCCTACTGTCTCTGGCTCCTCCTACTGTCTCTGCTGTGTGTCTGGCTCCTCCTACTGTCTCTGGCTCCTCCTACTGTCTCTGGCTCCTCCTACTGTCTCTGCTGTGTGTCTGGCTCCTCCTACTGTCTCTGGCTCCTCCTACTGTCTCTGGCTCCTCCTACTGTATATGGCTCCTCCTACTGTCTCTGGCTCCTCCTACTGTCTCTGGCTCCTCCTACTGTCTCTGCTGTGTGTCTGGCTCCTCCTACTGTCTCTGCTGTGTGTCTGGCTCCTCCTACTGTCTCTGGCTCCTCCTACTGTCTCTGCTGTGTGTCTGGCTCCTCCTACTGTCTCTGGCACCTCCTACTGTCTCTGGCTCCTCCTACTGTCTCTGGCTCCTCCTACTGTCTCTGCTGTGTGTCTGGCTCCTCCTACTGTCTCTGCTGTGTGTCTGGCTCCTCCTACTGTCTCTGGCTCCTCCTACTGTCTCTGGCTCCTCCTACTGTCTCTGCTGTGTGTCTGGCTCCTCCTACTGTCTCTGGCTCCTCCTACTGTCTCTGGCTCCTCCTACTGTATATGGCTCCTCCTACTGTCTCTGGCTCCTCCTACTGTCTCTGGCTCCTCCTACTGTCTCTGCTGTGTGTCTGGCTCCTCCTACTATCTCTGGCTCCTCCTACTGTCTCTGGCTCCTCCTACTGTCTCTGCTGTGTGTCTGGCTCCTCCTACTATCTCTGGCTCCTCCTACTGTCTCTGGCTCCTCCTACTGTCTCTGGCTCCTCCTACTGTCTCTGGCTCCTCCTACTGTCTCTGGCACCTCCTACTGTCTCTGCTGTGTGTCTGGCTCCTCCTACTGTCTCTGGCTCCTCCTACTGTCTCTGGCACCTCCTACTGTCTCTGCTGTGTGTCTGGCTCCTCCTACTGTCTCTGGCTCCTCCTACTGTCTCTGGCTCCTCCTACTGTCTCTGCTGTGTGTCTGGCTCCTCCTACTGTCTCTGGCTCCTCCTACTGTCTCTGGCTACTCCTACTGTCTCTGGCTCCTCCTACTGTCTCTGGCTCCTCCTACTGTCTCTGGCACCTCCTACTGTCTCTGCTGTGTGTCTGGCTCCTCCTACTGTCTCTGGCTCCTCCTACTGTCTCTGGCACCTCCTACTGTCTCTGCTGTGTGTCTGGCTCCTCCTACTATCTCTGGCTCCTCCTACTGTCTATGGCTCCTCCTACTGTCTCTGCTGTGTGTCTGGCTCCTCCTACTGTCTCTGGCTCCTCCTACTGTCTCTGGCTCCTCCTACTGTCTCTGGCTCCTCCTACTGTCTCTGGCTCCTCCTACTGTCTCTGGCTCCTCCTACTGTCTCTGGCTCCTCCTACTGTCTCTGCTGTGTGTCTGGCTCCTCCTACTATCTCTGGCTCCTCCTACTGTCTCTGGCTCCTCCTACTGTCTCTGCTGTGTGTCTGGCTCCTCCTACTGTCTCTGGCTCCTCCTACTGTCTCTGGCTCCTCCTACTGTCTCTGGCACCTCCTACTGTCTCTGCTGTGTGTCTGGCTCCTCCTACTGTCTCTGGCTCCTCCTACTGTCTCTGGCACCTCCTACTGTCTCTGCTGTGTGTCTGGCTCCTCCTACTGTCTCTGGCTCCTCCTACTGTCTCTGGCTCCTCCTACTGTCTCTGCTGTGTGTCTGCTTCTATCTCCAGGTCAAAAAGGAGAATTAAATAAAAGGTGAAAACACTGTTCCAAAGCTTGATACAATAATATCATAGATGGAATAAAATACATGTACTATTCTTAAGAAATGAATAAGTATTTTATATGATCAGTTGGGTGTGTTTTTGTGATTGATCAGTTCATGTTTAGATGATCATGAAGTGTGTGTGGTGTCATGAACCCTGACGTGCCTCCTCTCCTGTGTCCTCTAGCTGGGCATGGTTCGTAGCATGTTGTCCCGTAACCCGGCCGAGCGTCCCGAGGCCGCTGACATCACAGAGGAGCCTCTGTTTCAGGAACTGGAAGTCCCGTGTCGCCAGGCGGTCCGACAACGATCCCGGACATACAGCGCCTCGTCTGCTGGATGGCCTGCACGTACCTCTACTGCTTCCTCCTGAACACACACACACACACACACACACACACACACACACACACACACACACACCAGTCTCCTCTGCTCCCCCATCACACCAGTCTACTGCCTGACGTATATTATATGTAATTGTCTATGAAGAGCAGTTACTGAAGATACCATTCAGCCAGTCAACTCTCCAAAACTCTCCCTTCTCCCTCCTAAACACCACCAAAGAGACCCTGTATGACGTCTGTCTCTCACATCGTTCCCACCAGTAACCTACTACTGTATCCATCTCTCCCTCGTGCTGAACCCTGTACCATATCTACAGGACACCCTGTCCTAACATGAATGTCCTTAACAACTCGTAACTGGAGGCTGAGAACTGGAGGCTGAGAACTGGAGGCTGAGAACTGGAGGCTGAGAACTGGAGGCTGAGAACTGGAGGCTGAGAACTGGAGGCTGAGACAGACATGCCTGACTTGGGAGAAAATCATTTTCCTGCTTGTTCTGTTTGAGATAATGAGATGTCTTGCTTAGGCCTTAAGAGGTTTGGGAGGTGTTTAACTGCCTTGGGGGTTTGGGAATGAGAGGAGGGGGTTTGGGAATGAGAGGAGGGGGTTTGGGAATGAGAGGAGGGGGTTTGGGAATGAGAGGAGGGGGTTTGGGAATGAGAGGAGGGGGTTTGGGAATGAGAGGAGGGGGTTTGGGAGTGAGAGGAGGGGGTTTGGGAATGAGAGGAGGGGGTTTGGGAATGAGAGGAGGGGGTTTTGGGAATGAGAGGAGGGGTTTGGGAATGAGAGGAGGGGTTTGGGAATGAGAGGAGGGGGTTTGGGAATGCATCATATATGTGACCTGCCTTGGACCTGGGGACCTGCTCTGCTCTCTACTAGAATGAATGGGTGGTGCTGGGTCACGTTACTATAGCAACTATGATGGGAACCAGAGGGGTGGATGTACCATGCTGTCAGGACTGAGTTCCTCTATCTTATTTTGTGTAAAAGTTAAAAAGTAAACTGTTTAAGTTGCTAGAGATGGACAATGATTTCCCTAAATATACTCCCTGACAATTTTGTAAATAAGTTTACAAAAAAGTCCGTTTATTTTATGTAGATAAAAGGGAAGGTGTGATCACACCTGTGTATATACTGACTGAGACTGGAATAAGGTTCCATTGCTTTGGACATGACACTGACACAGAATGAAGCGTTATGATGTCTGGTGACTGGTAGAGAGATGATAGCTGCACTTTATCGCTAGCTGGATGTGATCTGGTCTGTAAGCCTGGAGGATGTGATCTGGTCTGTAAGCCTGGAGGATGTGATCTGGTCTGTAAGCCTGGAGGATGTGATCTGGTCTGTAAGCCTGGAGGATGTGATCTGGTCTGTAAGCCTGGAGGATGTGATCTGGTCTGTAAGCCTGGAGGATGTGATCTGGTCTGTAAGCCTGGAGGATGTGATCTGGTCTCTAAGCCTGGAGGATGTGATCTGGTCTGTAAGCCTGGAGGATGTGATCTGGTCTGTAAGCCTGGAGGATGTGATCTGGTCTGTAAGCCTGGAGGATACTGTCATAGACATTACTCTTTCTATCTTGGAAACAGATAGCCGGATTCACTCCGATCACGTTTGGTCCGCTCTGCACGTTTTAAAGGCAATGTTCCCATGTTTGCGGAGACCACATTCACGGAAAACACTGCGTATGTTGGCTTAATTAGAAATGGCCTTTAAATGTTAATCGCTCTATAACGCGGATCTTCCGCAGTCCATATTTAATTTAGGCCCTAAACAAGTATGAACTGATTCTCAGTTGAGGAGGACCTCCCAATATGTTGGGCCTGACACCTTTCATTATGTGACTATGTGATAAACGCCATGTTTTCCCATCTGGACAGGAGAGCAGAGCTTTACAAAAGGCTTATGAAGTCCCTGTTACTCTTGTCACTGATAATTGTAATGTACTCTAATTATTGACTTATCGATTGTACTTTTTCTAATGATTTTTTGAAAAGGTTCTTTGATATAATGCAATCCTGCAAGCTTTTTTTGATTACTGTAAAGTTCGTTTTGTCTTTGACTGATGTAGGAAAAGAAGCTGATGAATTTACAACAGCAGAGATCTGGTTCTGTTGAGTGGAGATGAGAGGTAGATCTGGTTCTGTTGAGTGGAGATGAGAGGTAGATCTGGTTCTGTTGAGTGGAGATGAGAGGTAGATCTGGTTCTGTTGAGTGGAGATGAGAGGTAGATCTGGTTCTGTTGAGTGGAGATGAGATGTAGATCTGGTTCTGTTGAGTGGAGATGAGAGGTAGATCTGGTTCTGTTGAGTGGAGATGAGAGGTAGATCTGGTTCTGTTGAGTGGAGATGAGAGGTAGATCTGGTTCTGTTGAGTGGAGATGAGAGGTAGATCTGGTTCTGTTGAGTGGAGATGAGAGGTAGATCTGGTTCTGTTGAGTGGAGATGAGGTAGATCTGGTTCTGTTGAGTGGAGATGAGAGGTAGATCTGGTTCTGTTGAGTGGAGATGAGAGGTAGATCTGGTTCTGTTGAGTGGAGATGAGAGGTAGATCTGGTTCTGTTGAGTGGAGTTGAGAGGTAGATCTGGTTCTGTTGAGTGGAGATGATAGGTAGATCTGGTTCTGTTGAGTGGAGATGAGAGGTAGATCTGGTTCTGTTGAGTGGAGATGAGAGGTAGATCTGGTTCTGTGGAGTTGAGAGGTAGATCTGGTTCTGTTGAGTGGAGATGAGAGGTAGATCTGGTTCTGTTGAGTGGAGATGAGAGGTAGATCTGGTTCTGTTGAGTGGAGTTGAGAGGTAGATCTGGTTCTGTTGAGTGGAGATGAGAGGTAGATCTGGTTCTGTTGAGTGGAGATGAGAGGTAGATCTGGTTCTGTTGAGTGGAGATGAGAGAAAGTCTGCTGAGGTTTGCAGTCAAAATAAAATGTTCTTCTTTTTTTTATATAACCCAAACTGGGGTGTATTCACTAGGAGCCAAATGGAACCAATAAGGCCGAAACAGGGAGTGACCTAGCTGAACTTAACTTAAAACATTTTTGCTATGGTGTACACTACTGAATACACCCTGGTTTAAATGTTCAGACTAGATCAGGTTCTGACGATGTATAACCTTTTTCCTTTGACCTACTGAATCGGAGTTGCCAGCAAAAGGGGTTGTTTTATTTTTATGAATGTTTTATGGACTGTGAAGGAATTACAGTTCTCTGACTCTGCCTTCAAACTCAGAGAACATCTGCAGCAAGTACCTAAAATGTATTTATGTCTGTCTGCAATCAAGAGTATCCAAGAACTTTAGATAATACTGTCATCTCTGCTTTTAGTTCTAGGAGTTGTTTTTAAATGACAACTATAGTTGAATTAGTTTATAAGATCGTTATCTAACAGATATCAAATAGGCTCTGATGGGTTTTTCTGTCTCTCTTCCATTCTCCCTCTCCTCTTCTCTCCTCCCTTGTTTCCCTGGATGTCTGGTTCACTTCCAGTTCTGCACCTCTGACCCCTAACCCATGTCCTCTAACCTTTGACCTGTAGTTAAATCTATCTGTCCATCTGATCTGGCGATGATGTAAATATGTTTATTTGTTTTATTTATGTTTAATGCCGAAATCAATCAGTTTTGGGTTGGTGGTACATATATAAATATATGATGAATGTACTTCGTCCCATGAAGTGCGTTGAAATATGGTGACTTCTTCCAAGTCTTGCGTTTAATAAACACTTCTATTACATTTGTAAAGTTTAGTGTGTTTTGGCGTGTTTTTGTTCCTGTGTGTTGTGTGTGTTGGGTCCTGTTTCAGACACCCTGAGCCGGCTGCCAGGCAGTGGTCGTACGCTGTGGGTACCTGCTACCCTTTCATAGGCAAAAACCTGGAAGAGCAGATGTAACCATTGTGGACATCTGCTGAGACCCTGGCCTCAGAACAGAGAGCTAAGGAATGACAATTTCCAGCGCATTGTGGCGCCATAAATAAACAAGTGGTCCAGTTCAGGTGTCATTAGGCTGTTTCTGGTCCAGCCCCGAACCTTTTGATGCCCCCCCCCTCCAATAAAGTGTATTTTTAAATGTGTTATTTCAATCTGATATGAGTTTCCATAACATTTGCTATGCAGTATTTAAAATACAATACTGCACAAGGCAGTAGTGGGGTTGTCACTAGTTAACACGACCACAGTCATAATTATGGCTAAACTCCGTCCATTTCTACAGTTTATCTCCTTAAAATCTGATTTTAAACCTAACCCTAACCCCACTGCTAGCCTTATGCCTAACCCTTGCATTAAGACCAAAAAGCATTTTCTTTGAGTTTTTCATGTTTGACTTTGCGGCTGTGTTATCTAGTGGAAAGCCAGTAGTAGCCACTGCAGGAAGCCCCTGGAGGATGCGGGCTGCTGTGATGGTCAAGATTCAAACAGTGGAATGCCAGTGTCCCGTTGATTGATGGTGGTAGCTAACTCGAACGTTTAGTATGCCTCACATAAGGGTTGGTGGTAGCTAACTAGCTAACGTTGTCTGCCTCAGCAGGGTTGGTGGTAGCTAATACTAACGTAGTCTGCCTCAGCATAAGGGTTGGTGGTAGCTAACTAGCTAACTAGTCTGCCTCAGCAGAGGGTTGGTGGTACAAAACTACGCAACGTTAGTCTGCCTAGCATAAGGGTTGGTGGTAACTAACTAGCTAACGTTAGTCTGCTCAGCAGAGGGTTTGGTAGCTAACTAGTAAGTAGTTGCCTCAGCAGAGGGTTGGTGGTAGCTAACTAGCTAGTTAGTCTGCCTCAGCATAAGGGTTGGTGGTAGCTAACTAGCTAACGTTAGTCTGCCTCAGCAGAGGTTGGTGGTAGCTAAATAGCTAACGTTAGTCGCCTCAGCAGAGGGTTGTGGTAGCTAACTAGATAACGTTAGTCTGCCTCAGCATAAGGGTGGTGGTAGCTAAACTAGCTAACGTTAGTCTGCCTCAGCATAAGGGTTGGTGGTAGCTAACTAGCTAACGTTAGTCTGCCTCAGCAGAGGGTTGGTGGTAGCTAACTAGCTAAC